TATTAATGACATTTTATGGGTTTAAAATTACAGGTGCATTCTCTATAAGTGTGAGTATGATGTACAGTGATGTCAATAAGTGAAGCAGCTCACTACTGAGTGTCTCCGTGTACTGGACGGTCACATTGGAGTGATTTCACACTCAGCATCTGGAGCTTCACTTATCTGAGAATCTGCTCTTAAAGTCAGCCTGTAGTTATAGTGAGCATAAATTAAGCGTTGGCTAAACACAAGTGATTGTGTTTAAAGTTAAATTCCCATTCTGATGTTACAGTACCATATAAAAAAAAAAAAAAAAGATTGATTAAATCAGCAGTCTGACTCCTTGTCAGCTGCACAGCAATATCTACCTAAACTTTGTAATTTAGCCCTATTAAGGACTTTTGGGTCTTTTGGACTCCAGGCCATTTGGTCTACATGACAGGTTTTGTTTTTGTATGTTCGAAGATTGTTTTTTTAATTTAAAAAGAGGGACATTTCTCTTGCATTTGGAACCAAAAATACATCAACTGATCAGAAAATGTATTCAACATAGCATAAATGTCTGTAATGAATACCAATTCCAATGGACCCTGAAAGACCTTCTACGTGTGGTCACCTGAAAGTCCTGAATAGGGTTCAGCTAACAACCTTCTGAGTGCAATGAACAGAGAGAAGGTATATTTTATTACTGGTCAATTCAACCTTTCGGTTAAAAGAACAAGAATTTGTTGCTTCCTCTTTCAAAAATGACATACTCTTGCTTTAAGATGTGAATCCTTCCACTTTAAGGTGACAGTCCTCAGGAGGTGCCATCATTTGGTTCCTAGCAACCTGAAGGCCAACATCTGGACCTGGTCCCTACACCTCCTGATGACGGTCTGTTCTGCCACTGGTTCTGCTCCTTACCCTTTCACTCTCTCCCCCTCTCGCCTGTCTGTCCTCCCTCGGTGTCCCCTCGGGGTAATTGTGGGGTAATTTATGAAGTTCTAGCAGCATGGAGCAGGCCAGTGTATGGGACAGCCTGCTGACCGAGCCCCATTCAGCGCCAGAGGAGAAGGCCTGGACTCCTTTTATCCTGCCCATAATCAGCATCTCTCCCTGGGCCTGGATCCCCCTCCTGACTCCCCTCGCCCTGCAGCCCTCCACAGCATGCAATCCTCCATGGCCGCTTAAAGATGAAGGGGAAAGTTATTGGACTCTTTAGTGACTCATAAACAACCTGGGGTTTTCATAGTGCTTTTGTGTCTTTGTGTTGTGGCCAAGATAATGCAATTGTTTCAGGCAGTGTAAATGAATAAATCACCGAGCAGTTTGTCCCAGCGGTGAGAGATAACAAAGGGCAGCACTCCCTGTTCTCAGAAACACTTGTCGGCCCGTTCAGACACTTTGTGAAACAATTTTATATCTCTCTCCCCAGACATTGGTACTCGGAGGGAAACGTTTAGATCCATGGATAAAGCAAACCAAACCAATTCCACGTATCAGCTCCTGCTGAACACTTGTCTTCCTATGATCTCGGTGCCTTGATATACAAGCGACACTGAGAAAAATGGTGGTAACCAAAAGCGGCTGCGTGTCCTCTACAAGCTCTGCTCTCGACCACATGCCCAGATTAAAACCCACTGTGTGTGTACAGAAGATGTAGCCAGTGATCCTGTTAAACAATGAGCAGCAGACGGTGAAGGAAGCCCTACGGTACACAGCACAGGTTTGCTCTTCAGCTTAGTGCTTTATTGAGCCATGATAGGCCTTAATCTTGCCTGATCCTCTGTCACTACAAGCATATGCCTGTGATAATGCCCTCATTTTCTGGTCACCTGAGCACTTTCATTGGAGTGCACCCCGTGAGGCAGCAGAAAGGGGGTCTCTAAAGCCTAAAAAAAAAAAAGTCTGTCACAGAGGTCCGAATTGGATGAAGGGTCCTGAAAGGTGGCATCCAGAGAAGAAAGTCAAACACTCTAATGCAGGGTTAAAAATTGAAGGATTATGTGGAAACATGGAGGGTGGCTACGCTTTCATTTGTAAAATGCAAAGCCCAGAGATCCTTGTGTCTCTCTGTGTGGCCTGTTGCCTCTGTAAACACATGAATAAGAATAAGAATGAGGAGTAGAAAGGGATTTATCTGGCTCATGCATATAATAATGGAGTAAAAGAAGGACTGATTACACTCCATTATTCAGCTAGAGTCCCTAATAATCATCTCAATATATATTCTTAGTGATTGTAATCACACAACCACTGTTCTCTGCTGTCTTCCGTGGACGTGTTAAAAATCCCCACTCGGTTTATGTGAGTGACAATCTCACTAATCTAACTTCGTGTACAGTTAATAAGCAGCTTGGCACACTTTCCTGAATTCATTGATAATTTATTAAGACTATCAAAGGCACATTATGGATCGTCTTCTTCTCTTTGGCCTGTGTAAGACACAATGAAAACTGTGGCACCAACCAGCCATTAAAAGGTCTGAAAGAGTGGAAAAGAAAGAAATCCGGACCATTGTGTCCAACATAGTTAATTAGGACCTGACCCAATTAGCAGAAGAGAGTCCAGCAGCCATGTTGGCTCGGAGCCTAACGATGGGAAAATCCATATGCTCCAAATAAATGGCTCATGTTGGCTCTCGAGGTTCTCCCAATTATAATATCACTGAATACTGGCTGAGCCAAAGCACCCTGCAGGGCCCCCTGATGGAGCTGTGGTGGGGGGTCCTGAGGGCCCTCTTGATTCCTACTTCTAACTTTCTGTAGGTCCATGTGTGTGTAAGGGATTGAGAAGGACTTTGAGATCACACACACAGCGACATGCGGAACAGTCACGAAACTACAAGATGAACTCCGAGACGTATGCAATATTACATCAGAGAAGTGATTTCATCCACCGCGAAGGTTGTCAGTGTTTTCTTCACGTCCTTGTGGAAAAATAATACGCTGGAAAAACAAGAGAATTCAAACAAAGAATACCACAACATAAAAGTCCCATAAGATTAAAAAAAAAAAAGGGAGATTGATCCTATTGCGGCACACCTGCTGGAAATAAAGCATCCCATTTCTTCTCTTATATATATGGGCGCTGTCAAACAAAGTGGGACATTTGGCAGAAATGGGCTCTTAAGAGAGAGGCATTCTGGATTTCTGAGTACTTTGTGTTGGATGGGATGAAATGCGAAATAAGTCTTGAACCTATTTTTGTATGCTTGACTGGATTATACATAATTGATCTCAAATAACAGAGAGGAAGTATCTGAGAACAGCTAGAAGTTCATGAATGGACGGATGTGATGCACTTTGAAATTAGTTTGGTTTAGTTAGTTTGGGTATTCAGAAATGTTGCAAAGGATTTGAATAAACACTGTTTTGAAAAATTTGTTTGCAAGAGTACAGAAATTGTTGCTTGATTTTAAAAATTATATTTGTTTTGTTCACCCATTGATGAGTTAATATGAAAGATGAAAGAAGGAGACAACCAGTGTTTTAAGAGCAATCATGATGCTGCACAAAGACGCCCACGGCTGGAGGACAACGTCTAATAGTGTTGGGTAAACATAAACCAGGGTGTCCTACTGTGTACCACACAGAGAAAAGCAAACAGCCTCTTAGACGAGCTGCCAGATCAACAACAACACATTCCAGCCATGACGCCTCGAAAATGTTTCCTCCAGTTCACCCGCGTAAAATCTTGGATGATGGCTTTGCAGTTGTTGTGCTGCAGGCAAGAATCAATGCAATGCATCAGTCCAAGGTTCACAAAACTGATGTTTTTGCAAATCTCCTCTGCTACTCTTGAGGGTGTAACACTTGAGAAGACTGTTATTATATTCTCAAACTACCGGCCCTCTAGCGCTGCCTCACTGGAGGCTTTGCTTGGCAGGAGGAAGACAGGAAATTCCTGAGCTGAGTGTTGAAATCCAGCCTCTGAACAACCACAGAGAGAGAGGCTGACATGTCAGCCTGATATACACGCCACAAGATTAGATCAGCAGATATGTGTTGGACATCAAACCTAGATGGAATTCATATGTCGTGAACTTCTCCATCGGAAATAAGAAAGGTGCGACAGGGTCATTTCTCTAAAGTATATTCATGCAGCTGTCAAAGTACACTCCTATAAAGTATGGGAGTAGTGCTAGTAGCTTTAACGGTTGAATTAAAGGAGGACAATGCCGTGCCCACTCATTTAGTATCTCTTTAACTACCTCCTCCCCAAACTGGAGGACCCCCTTCCAGTGATAGTGATGTGATTTCACAGACTGTTTAGAGAGCCGAGTCAAATTTATCTGACCCCTTTTGTCTTGAGCTCCTGGTTGAATTGTACCTAGTCTGCCATTAACGCTGCTCTTTACATGTTTAAGCACCTCATACGGTGCCTCATACCTTTCTCCAAAGTGTCTCATGGTTACCGTATGTAAATAAGGCCTCGGAGGCATCATCTATCTGCTGTGTTGGAGGAGTGCAATAAAAACAGCAGCTTGATAAAGTCTGTATGTGATCAGTGGTTAACACTCTCACTTTCAATATCAGTCTGCAGTGAAAAACATGTCTGGAAAACTTTTATACCGACAGTCCTTAATGCAAGTTTTAACACAGTCCAGTTAACTCCACAGCTTAACACGACGTGTGAACCTGTTTTGGTTAATGTGTAGGGGGTTCATCAGCGCTGGGGGAGTTAAATGTGGGTGTGGGAAGGTGAAGTGGGGGCTGCAGGGAGGAGAGGGGGGTGAAAGTGTGTCCCTTCTGCAATTGGCTGTGGCCCTTAGTGTCTCATTATGCGGCTTATTGTTCCTTTGTTGTGTGGACGGTATAAATACACCCCAGTGGGCTCACAGGGTGACAGTTTAGACACATTCACTGCTGTGACCAGACTGATCATCAGACTGAACAGCACAAACTCTGGGAAAAGTCACACTGCAGTGAACTGGACAAACTTTGAAGAATCTAGAGAATTAAGGCCCTCAGCTCAAGTGTTTTTTTTTGGAACATTTTTTAGTAAAACCTGAATTTTCTCCTGCTTCAACTAAAATGGATTCCGACGCTGGCTCCACCTGCAGCCGCTCCTCATCTCCAGACCTGGTGGTGGACGACTCCGCTGGGAGCTTCTTCTCCAACAAGATGTTCCAGAGATACTGCCAGGAGAGCAGAGGAGACAGCGAGGCCGGCCAAGACGGGACAGAGCGCTGCAACGGGGGCGGAAAGACCAAAACCAGATCTGAGCTGAGCAAGGAAGAGATGCAAGACCTGAGGCTGAAAGTCAACAGTCGGGAGAGGAAAAGGATGCATGACCTGAACCAGGCGATGGACGGCCTGAGGGAGGTGATGCCGTACGCTCACGGACCTTCAGTCCGCAAGCTGTCAAAGATCTCCACCTTGCTGTTAGCTCGAAACTACATCCTCATGCTGTCCAGCTCTTTGGAGGAGATGAAGAAGCTGGTCGGGGATGTTTATGGAGGCGGCGCTGCTGTCCAGAGTCGCACCGCTCCTCATCCCACGATTTCTCCTGCAGCCACAGCTGCCCATCTCCCTCTGCATCCTCTGGCCCAGTCCCTGCACTCTCTGGTGGGCAGCACACCTTCATCTCTCCAGCATCACTCATCTTCTCCTTCTTCAGCCCCAGCTCCACACTCCCCTCCAACAGCCAGCTTCCTGGGTTTTCACGCTCCAGTCCAGGGCCTTCTGAAGGACCCCCTCCACCTGACCAGCTCATACAGGCACTTCCCCGGCATGCCCTGCCCCTGCTCACTGTGCCAGCCTCTGCCCACCACCACCTCCACATTACACAGCCTGTCTATGAACAAGTGAGCAGGACTCTCTGAAAACTATCTACTGCTGTTTGGATTAGTGCAACGAACCAAACAGCTCACAGAAGCTTGATGAAAGAACTGATGAAGTGATGGCTGGTGCCAGACTTTGTACATATACTGTATATATCTTGTGCGACACAAACTGCTGCTATTTTTTATCAATTGTCTTCTCTGCACTGTTTATACAGAAAGATTCTAAATGGACCGGGGATTTTATCAGAGAAGCAAAGTCTGTAATTTATCTGATATCTGTGGTGATGGAACATTGTTGAAATGAAACTGGTGTGTCCCATTGTGCAGGATTTCTATTTTCCTAAATTAAAATTCATTTTTAATAATAACTCCTGTTTGCCTGCTTCTTTTCATTAATGTGAGAAACTGCAGTTATTGATTTGTGGTTATTTGGACAAAGCAAGTTTACAGCACATTTCTGAAAAACATACGTCTGTTATAATATTTCTTTTTAAAAGAGAGCTACTTTTTTGTTTTTTTTTTTGGAATGTTCTAGACAAACTATCAGAACATTTCAGAAAGATCTTCTTCAACTAAACTGAAGGACTTTTATTGGGGCTTTTAAGGGCCAAGGGAGCCGGGCAAAAATGGATATTTAGGAAAGGGTGTCAGTCGTTGCTAACCAGCTCTGGACAGACTAACCTCTAAAGAGCTAAAGAGGGACAGAAGGGCGAGACAATGCGCCAGCACAGAAGCTGAATGTGGTGTTCTTGAGCCAGGGGACCATCCATCTTCACCTCAACAGGGTGTAGGAGATGAAAGGACGACACAGGCGCCAGGAAGGCGCGTCACTTTTGTCTGACGCAGTCGAGGGACATAGCCATGTCCTCAGCTCTAGGCCAGCCATTTGTCATTGTCTCATAAGAACATGAATATAGGCACACAAAGGGCAAATTTAAAGCAGAGGACATAATGCGGTCAGTCTGAAAAAAAGTTTCTTTTAATCCGTACACGATCCTATTTTCGCTGTTAGTGAAAATATCCACACAGCATCACTGTAAATTTGGAATCAAATTTGTTTGCATTAGTGTTAAAAGTCAAGTTCCAAATGATTCATTAATGAAATAAAGCATAAACATAACTATATGTTCACTATACACACACTGATTACCATGAACATGATTTAGTCAAACAACTCAACAATGGCTGGCCTTCACTTAGCAACAAATCAAGCGTGTAAAATACATGCTTATCCTCCCACGGCTGACAGATGAGTTGGAGATCAGGGGAGAAATGAAGAGATGTAACTCATTCTCACCTACCTCCCTCTTTACCCCCTCCTCCTCCTCGTGAGAGCACTGAATGGGTTGGAACAATAGCCATGCGTGGGACACAAAGGCCGGGGGAGTCCAAGCTCTCGTGCCTGGGACACAGACCCCCTCCATTCAATCTACATTTCATCATGGTAACAAGCGCTGTCGGGCCAAAAGGCCTGACACCCTCACTCACCACAAAGGCGGTTAGCTCTAATATATGAGGCTATTGACACTGTAAAGAGCCCCTGTCAGTACTGGGGGATTGTCAGCTGTGGGATGTCTCAGTGGGGGGAGGCAGCTGCCAGCCAAACCAAGCGGTGGAGCTTCTGTCGTGGGGACCGGCGCTGCAGCGTCACCTGGTCCCTGGTCCCTTGACACAGAGACCTCGGTCCTCCCACAAGGCCCCCCTTTATTGGGGCACAGGTGGGAATGGGAAGCAGAACACATTGTGGAGATTAGTGGGGATCTGCCTCCCTTTGCACTAGGTAGATAATTAGAGACACTGACTTGTGCAAAGCTGGTGTTTCCTGATCGGCACCAGATGGTGTTAACCCACAGTGTAGCATCAGCAGTCTGGAAAGAGAGAGAGTGTGGGTGTGATGACTGTGGTGTGTAATGGATATGCTTCTTAAATCATACAATATGGGCTTGTCCTCTGTGTACCATTATGGTCAGCCGCTGCTGTCATCACGGTGCTCTTTAACATACGCTAACCAGCAGTGACAGCGCTGCTTTTAGTCATGATGTTGTGCACAATTAACTCTGAAATGTAGAGACAGTGACACAGTTTCACCAGGATGGAACAAATATTCAGATCCGTTATTTGTAAAACTACCAAATCATATTACAGTTAGAAGTCCAGCAACCAAAATATTCCCTAAACAAAAGTATTTGCTTTGTCAAAAGGCTCCTTCCATCATGTCCAATATCACAGAATGTAGATCTTTGGTACAGTTGATCTTAGTGGAGGCTCAAACTATTTTACATGTGTTCTTTATAAATACTCAATTTTCTAAAGATATTTCTGTGTATAAGTGAGCCCTTAAACTTTTATCTGCATCACAGCAAGAACATTTCAACCTGTTTTTAATTTAATCCTCTAAACATCAAGCAGTTTCTGCCATTTTTTGTCTAATTTTTATCTGTATCTCTATGGAAACAGCACAACCGTGGCTAGAAGCAGAGAAAACTTAATGTCCTATGTGCAGTATGACAGTGTTATCATGCCACAAATCATAAAAAAACTAAAGTTGAATTTCTTTGATTATTCCCTTTAGAAAATGGTAAAAACCTGGGATCAATATGTTCAACATTTGCCCACAAGTGTTACCGATGCTGGAGACAATAACAGGGGCTTTTTTAAAAGGTTTACAGAAGCTGGTTAGAGCAAACATTTTGTTTTGGGCAATTTTTTTAAAATGACACTTGTCAAATAAAGCAATTTTGATTCAAAATCTTAATTTCAAGCTTAGATTTGGTTTTGGATTCTCTCTATGTACAGTTTCTTGGTGATAATAATGTCATTTTGGAGATTTTTTAAAAACAACATTCAGAGGGTTAAACGATAAAGCAGGTTATTGTTGAAAATTCTTGAAACAAAAGTATTGCACTAAAAACTGATTGAAATATTTTGCTACAATGGCAAATTTTTGGTTTTAATTGTTAATTACAAACCCATAAATGAAGGACTTCATTTCAAACTTGAACATAATATGGAGATTTTTTCTATGTCTTTCTATGAAAAATAATCTTTAAAAGTATCAGCTAGAAGTATGATAAATTTAGTGGAGTAGAAGCTGCAGATAAAAGATTTACTTAAGTATCTCAAAACTGTTTTAATTATAGTACTTAAGTAAATGTACTTAGTTACTTTCTGTAACTGGATTTAATAAGTAACCGTAATGGATGGGTTCCTATATGGAGGAGACTGTGGACACATACCAACATAGAACTACATTCCCTTTACTACTCCTCAGAC